CCCCAAAACCCCAAAACCCCAAAACCCCAAAACCCCAAATATTATTATGAAGGTTGAAATAAACATGAGAGGGCTAGAAGCGGGCAAGGTGCTAGAGAGGGGCTGGGAACGGGGTAAGGGAGAGAAGAGGGATTGGGGGTTCTGGGAGGGGAGATAGGGGAAATTGGAAAGAGAGGGTGTGGTATCAATGTTTTAGGCCAGCTTATTGTTCCTTCCTGCATTCTTTCGGTTAAGTTCAATGATTGGCAATCGATGAGAAGTCTGCAGTTTGGAATAATTAGACACTTGAGAAATACTAAGAACAAAAATTTCCTCTTAATAAGCTATTTCATCCAGCTTTAGGTTCATTTTCAAGTCTTGACTTCTTGGAGATAAAGCATAAAAACTTGTTCGTTATTAACAACAAGTTATAAATGAATCGAACTGTCAAGCAATTGTATCTTTCTGGTAATGCTTCCATTTAGGAACCAAAAGAAGAGGAAATTCAGGTCTGAAATCAACCCTGAACCAGTTTATAATTTTTGGATATCATCTCCCTTTATCATTAAAATACCTCTCAAGTTAGGACGAGAGGAATAAAAACTTTCCAATTTTTAAATGAGGATTAATTTTTCTTAAAGGAATCCTAATTTGATCAGGATTTTGGGAAGAATTTCTAAATCTAGCCTTATCTCTATCTTCCGGGCTTAACCTATCGGCTTATATCCACACCTGGTCTAGAGATGTTATTATACTGGTTATTTTTATCTTAAAGCAGTAAGAACAACAGAATACGTCGAATGAACTGCTGTTGACAATGATTAATTTTGTTAATTTTTGATACGATTTTTTACACAAAATCTTGATACGATAAAATTTTATTGTATGAATAGATATATTTTTTCTTTTATTAATTATTGCCCGGAGAAACGTCTCCCATGGTTACAAAGATCTCCTGAGGGTCCTCTCCATTTGAGACTGAGTCTTCATCATTTTCATCAAAAGATATCCTCAATGGATCATTTCCATGAACAGGTGATTTAGCACCTCTTGAGAAGGAACAAAGCTCAGCTTCTTGAGGATCTTTTGCAACTTTTATGAGCAGAGGTGCTAGTTCAAAATCGTTAGAGTAAGAGCTCTGAATTCTTTTGCTCTGTGTCGTATCTTTCAGTCCAGTTTGCTTGCTCCTCTCCAATTCGGATACCTTAAGAAAGCAGTCTGCTCCACCTAGATAACGAGGGTTAGGACTTTTACAGTCTCTTTCCCATCCAGGGTTTTGATCATGCTCGTCTTTCTTTTTCATGAGTTTTAAATTATCTCAAAGTACTCTCTGAGTAGAGGAATGTTCAAAATGGGTAAGGTTAAAGAAGGAATCATCGGCCTTCTTAACAAATCCTTTGTCTAGTCAGAGCTTGCTTGACTTAGTCTTAGGACTCTTCACTGAATTCTTGGCTACGGTTTGAGGTTCTTCTCATTCCATTGGAATATCACAGTCGTCATCTATTGAGACATGCTTCATTTTAACCAGTAATTTTCTAATTAATTTTTATAAATTTGCAAAATTTATTTCCTTTATTAACGTTGCTGTTGTTTATACTGAGATTAGAGATATGTCGTAAGCTAGCTTTCCAGCTAGATTTTAGGTCTTTATTAGTCTAAAGACGTTAGATCCACTCTTTAGAACCAGTAAATGTAGATATCTATCAACTTCAGAGTTTTGTAAAACTTAGTCACCGGAAATTTTGAAGAAGAGCATTTGAGTCAACAGATTCTTATTCCTTTATTAAACTCTATAAAATATGGTAATAAAAGTATTTTCGACACTTTATTTAAAAATTTATTATTTTCCTGAAAATAATACGGTATTGCAAAGATTATGAATTCTTACAGTAAATTTTCTCATAATTTAGAAAAGATATCCAATTTTTGGAAGCGTTACCGATTGTTTAAGAACCTCACCAAGTGATACTACAAGCTTCCTCTGATTATTTTACCTAACCTATTTAACATACCTTAGTTTTAAAGAGCGAAAGCTAGCTGTAAAGAGTCAATGAGATTATACTAAAGCCTTCAATTTTGTAGCCCAGAAGTTATAAATTTAGACAAATTAGGCAGAACAGATCCATGAATCATCGTTTTGACAAATGTTTGCATTATGTTCATAACGTGGACAACTCGTAATATTCCTAATTAGTGGCCTGCTACAAAATTGTTTGTATCATTTAAAGAGTATATGTGCCCATCTATGAATTTTAAAGAACATAATCCTGCTGACATTTATATAAAGAATTTTGGAAATAGAGGTTCTGAGTTATTTTAACAGAAGAATTTTAGAGAATTTGTCTATTATCAAAAATGGTTCTAGAATATGGGGGAAAGAGATTAAGCCTTTGGTAGGACCGCTATGATTTTGTTTGATAAAAGACTGCTATCAATGGCTTAATCTCTTTGGATCTAATAATACAGCCATTATCAAGAAAAGTCAAGCTTATTCAAATATTTAACCCTCTATAAAACGTTTTTGGAAAATAAGAGGATGTACAGAGAGGTGGTTTCGAAAGTTTAACCCAATCTTCCTGTAAAAAGCAATCTACTGAGGAATAGGATTGACCCATACAAGATGACTCATTAGCTTTGACAGCAACAGTTTAGTAAGAAATGTAAATAAACCGACCTAGAGCACAACACTCATTTGTTATCTAAGACCTGTTGTTTTGGGAGTTTAATTACAATCGCAGATAACTTTAACAAATATCCTAATTCTTCTATTGAGTTCATTAAAATTTCTCTGAAAATTTTGATACACAGCCGCCGCTTCTAAAGAAAACAGCTAAATCTTCATAAAAAATTCTTCATTCTGAGAGTACAGGCGAGACTATGGGCCTCCTCTGCCGGCCTAGTGAGCTTACTGCTGGTTTCACTTGAGTGAATGTAAGGAGAAGCGTTGTTAAGAAGAACAGGATAGTCTTTTTGGAACTTTCGAGTAGGATTAAGTAGATTTAGAGGCTTGGGAAGTAGGTTTTGGGGAGAATAGAGGTGCGGAGAAGTGGTAATGTGGAGGAGGGGGTTGATGTGTATTTTAGGAGTTGATGCATTTGAACTAGGAAATCCTGTGAAATTCCTTTAAAGTTATAAAATTGCTTAAAACTTATTGTATAACCTTCTCCCGCCTCCAATTCTATCAAACCTATCTGCTCCACTCCATCCTCCTAAACCTACTTCCAATGCCCTCTTCCTATACCATCCTCTCTCATTCCATTTTCAACATGTCAAATAAATTAAGGGGTTTTGGGGTTTTGGGGTTTTGGGGTTTTGGGG